AAAAATATCCTTTTAAGGAAATTGGGGTGTTACACATAGCCCATTATGATTATCATTATTTTCTCCGTGAATTACTTGTCATCTTTTTTTAGATAACCGAAAACCACATCACCACAAGAGCTTTTCGGCTTTTCCCCTAAGTATGTATTTAGTAAGCTAAACAGTTCAAAATTTTTGTGATTCCCATAGTTTATAGGGAATCAAAGTACCACTTGCAGGCACAAGATAAAAATATCCATAGAACAAGAACAGTTAACATACTTTACATTTTGTAAAAGAATCAATATACTATGTCACTAGTACATGAGATGAGATAGCACTGGCAATGAACATAAACCTTAATCAGCTAGATGCTAAACCTTCCTAGATTTACCACCCCAAAATACCATGTGGCTTCCATCATCATGATATTTCTACTACCACTAACACTATTTTCTATCTATGTTTTTATCAATGCCAAGCTGAAGCTGATATCAAATTTCTGCTCTTCCACCCCAGCAACATGGCACCATCCTTCTCCATTAGTGTATAATGTTCTGAATAACACCTCAGAAGGCTTCTTATGACAGAATTCACATAAGAGCTCAAAGGGCACTGAGTAAAACCAGCCATTGTTAACCTAGACTTCCACTTGCCGAACAATTCATGTCTCTCAACCCTTTCCTTGCCTTCACAAGCAATGATGTTCACAATATCCCTGGCCAGACAATGCTGCTCCACATTGATCCTGTCCTTGCTATCTCTTGAAAGGGTGACATCGATAGACTCAAAGATTGCCAAGTAGTAATCCAAGGTCTCAATGAACCTAAGTAAGAAAGGGGTTGTGTTTGTGTTTGATTCCTGCTCCACCAGTGTGGTCACCTTGGGAGAAAGTGACTTCACCAATCTCAAAAGTCCATCCCTGGGGTTACTCACATGAACACTCTCATCAGCTGTGTGATGGAGCTGCAAGGAGAAGTTCACGGCCAAGGCCTCACCAGGCCTGATATCAAGCATTTCCCTTGTCACATCAGGAGCAAAAACTGGCACTCCATGAAACTCAACTTGGATGCCAAATTTCTCAGACATCAAGGCCAACCTTTTGCCAACAATATCTAATCCACCACCACGAGCATACTTTGAAACAGGATCATCAATCCCCGTGATCCTAACATGAGGAGCACCACCAGGTCTTGCTGCAAGGGCCTGAAGAAGTGTCATCCATTGAGATCCCTGAGCAATTTGGAAATCTATGATGTGTATCCGATCCTCGTTTCTGCAAGCCTCCGCAATGGCTCCATTGGCAGCCATGTAACCAAATTTCAAGTAGGGACAGATTTCAAACAAAAGTTGCATGTAAGAGAGTAACTCATCACCTTCAGGCTCCCTACACCTAAGGGCATGGTAGATGCTATTCCCTGATGCTTCCTTCCTTGCAACAAGTCCTTCTACCATATAAGCGCCAAGCCGCTGGATCGGCTCACCGTTGATGGACACAGCATCTCTAGCCTTTGCTAGCAATTGATCAAAATCATCCATGCTGTTCTCAGCAAGGGCCCTAGCACATGATATCAACAATTGCTTCAAATTGTTGGGAGGGAAAGCTTGCAGTGATGGTTCCTCCATCAACTTTTGCCGTTTCTCTACACGCACAACCTCACTAGACTGCCTATTGCCGGTAACATATGATGGCTGATTCTGAGTATATTGTGATCCATGATTCTCATGGCTCCAGGATCTGTCTCTCTGGCCAGATGCCATTGGCCTGGAGGTGGTCTCAGCCAATGCTTTTGATGTCGTAAATTCATCATCATCAGGGGCCATCAGAGCGGTTTCGAGCTCAAGTAATGCGTGTTTGATTTTTTGGTTGCAACTAGCATTCTGTAGAAGAGAGATTGATCTGTGCATGTAATGGTTGGTTTCCAGCAAAGAGTTGCAAAAGGGGGTGACACTAGAGAGGATTTCTCCGGGGCTGTATTGCTCCTGGCTGTCACTCAATGCAGAAAGAGTATCAGAATCAAAGTGAGTGGAAAAGGGTGAGTTTGGTGAGTTTCCTGTGTCATATTTCAAGGGTCCTAGTAGCCTGTTGGGTAGAGATGGAACAGTGGGAAAAGATGACATGTAAGGTAATTCTGCACTAGTAACACCAAAACTGAAAAGCTGTTGTGAATCCATGCTAAGGTTATGGCATCAGCTGTTAATGTGAAGAGGGATTTTTATAATTTGACTAGCAAAGTTCTCAAGATTTTGCTTCAGACTTGAAGCGCAGCAGTTTCAATAAAATTACACAAACCTGCAATGACAACATAGACAAGCACGAATGAGTATTTTAATAATAGCACAATCACAAGTTCATAATATCAATCATCTAGCGAAACTGCAATTTGTGGAGAAGATAAACACGTGCACACAGGAGAAATAAAGGAAGTGAGCAAACACTAGAAAATCCAAGCTGATTAACTTTGAAAAATTAAATTCACTTCTTAGATGTAAATCAGCAAGTGAAAATTCTCCCATGATTGCATAGCAAAATCATTAATATCAAAGTAAACCACTATGAAAATCAATACCATCTATATTTTT